AAAGGTATATATCAGGCTTGTAGCCTGCGAGGCCGGTAGAGACGTTGTAAGTTCAGGCTCTAGGAACCAGTGCTGCTCGGCTTTGCCGTTTCAAGGTTTCTAGACCGTCAAGGCTTTACTCGGAACCTCAAAACAAATAAACTCTAATCCACTGTGAACTTGCTCAGATAAACTCAGATCAAGCCCGCCCGCACGCAAAGAGAAAAGTCACAGCTTCGCGATGTTGTTGCCACATGTTCTTGGAATGGAATGGAATGGAATGGAATGGAATGGAATGGAATGGAAGTGGCCAGCAGCAGTAGCTGCAGCCGCCCACGCTCTTCCCCCCCACATCGCAGGGCAGCTCCGATAACTGGGGTTCTTTCATAATGCAGACCAAGTTGCCGGGAGGGAAGAAGAGGAGGGAGGCGGAGAGGGAGAGAAAGAGGGAGCGGGCGGGCGAGGGGAGAGAGAGAGAGAGAGAGAAAGAAAGAAAGGCAAACACACACAGAAGACGGACACCCACCAAGAAAAAGGGAGGAAACAAAAAACACAGAAAAACGAGTGAGGAAACCCAACCCCCCAAAAAACAACCCACGAGGCCGGAAACCAAAAAAAAAGGGAACCACCCACCTCACCCCCACACCCAACCCCCCAAACCCAACAAGCCGGCACTAAGGCGAAAGGCAGCTGGCACGTAGCCAAAAAACGCGCCGGAGAAGGGAGCCGCCACTGCGCGAGAAAGGGCCAAGGCAGAAGCCCCCCAAACGCGAGTGGAGGAGCGGAGCTAAGGAAAAAGGGCCTGGCACAAGGCGGCTGGCACGTAACCAGACAAGCCGCCGCACGCTTAGACACCACCAGCACCAGCAGGAACGGGAGAAGCAATTGTTGGAGGAATGCAATCAAGCAGTAGGCGGCCGGCGCTCACCGCCAGGCCACCAATGCCGGCTAGGAGGACACCAAAGGCAGGCGAAGGACAGCATGCACCCAGAAACCGCCGAAAGTGTCAACGATAGGTGCGGAGTCAGGCTGCAGCCCCGTAACGGGCAAAAAGGCCACGCCGAGGACAAAAGAGGTAAAGCAGCAGGCCAATAGCGCACAGAGGTGCGCTCCAAACAAGGAGAGAATATACGTATACATATATATATAGATATATAGATATAGATATAGATATAGCTACCCCCCCCACCGTGACCTACCGATTTCG